GAGGAGGCTACAATGCTTGATAAGAAATGTACTCATTATCTTGCCCATGTAATTGTAACCCCTCTGTACAGTATTTTCACAATTAAAAAAATAAATAAAATTAAAAGAAAGAAAGAAGGAAGGAAGGAAAGTTCTGGAGAAAGGAATGTGGCTCAGTGGTAGAGTGCTTGCCTAGCATGCATGAGCCCTGGGTTCCATTCCTCAGTACCACACACTCAGAAAAAAGTCAGAAGTAGTGCTGTGGCTCAAGCGGTAGAGAGCTAGCCTGGTGCTGTGGCTCAAGTGGTAGAGTGCTAGCCTTGAGCAAAAGAAGCTCAGGGACAGTGCCTAGGCCCTGAGTTCAAGCTCTAGGACAGGACAAGAAAAAGAAAAGAAAAGATATTTTCTCTCATGCAGAAGCTAGATCTCAAATACATAGGGACGTGATAAATCATTCAAAACTCCAGGCATGCAGACACAGGGAAACCAAAAGAACATACTTTTTTTTTTTCTTTTTCTTTTTTGTTGGTTGTGGGGCTTGAACTCTGGGCCTGGGCGCTGTCCCTGAGCTCTTCAGCTCAAGGCTAGCGCTCTACTACTTGAGCCACAGCTCCACTTCTGGTTTTTTGGTGGTGGTTCATTGGAGATCAGAGTCTCATGGACTTTCCTGCCTGGGCTGGCTTTGAATCATGATCCTCAGATCTCAGCCTCCTGAGTAGTTGGGATGACAGGCGTGAGCCAGGGGCGCCTGGCAGAGGAGGGTATAGTTAGGAACACAAAGGCGCAATGTCTATATGCCCTCTGATCATATAAAAATAATAGTGATCAAAATGAACTCCAAGAAATGGAAACAGGAGGTTTATTTTTTTTCTTTGTTGCTGATTTTGTTTTCTTTTCTTCCTGCCTTGTTTATCTGTCTTGGGGGGGGGGGAGGGAGACACAGTGAACACAGGCAGCTGAACTTTACAACTTATCAGTGGGGACAGCGGGGGGGGGGAACTGGGAGAGAGCAAGGGAAGGGGTGACATTGTCCCCCCCCAAAAAAAAAAGAGAAGAAAAAGAAACGTGCTCATTACCTGGCTTGTAAAAGTAACTGGAACCCCTCTGCACATCCCCTGTAGGGTACAAATAAACACATTTTAAGCAGGAAACAATAAAAGAAGAAGGTTGCCTGAAGAAGTTCCATTCTTCCCAGGAAAATCAGAGTTGTAGCTGAGCTGGGGGGGTCTGCAAGCAGGTGAGGGCGTGGTCTGGAGCTAGTGGGGGGCGTGGCCCGGCGGGCGCGGAGGCGGGGCCTCGCGCAGTACGCAGTCCGCGTCGGCGTCACGTGACGCGCGCCTGGCACTTCCGGGTGGGACCCGAGGAAGGCGGCGGGCAGGGGCTGGCGGGCCGCACCATGGCGTACCACGGCCTCACGGTGCCTCTCATCGTGATGAGCGTGTTCTGGGGCTTCGTGGGCCTCTTGGTGCCTTGGTTTATCCCTAAGGGTCCCAACCGGGGGTAAGTGTTGGGGGGAGGGCGTGTGTGTTTCGGGGGGGGGCGTCTTGGTTGAGGGCCGCGCGGGCCGGGGTGTGGGCCCCCCCCCCGTTAGGCCTCGGAGAGCCGCCTGCGCCCCCATCCTCTTCCCTGTCACCGCCGCCGCCTCCGTGTCCCCCCGCGGGGACCCCCCCTCCTTCCAGGGCACGTTTTGGGGGGGTGGGGGTGGGATTTCTCCTCACGGCCCTCGGGTGGGGGTGGGGTGGGGTCGCCATCGCAACCGCCCGATGGCCAGGGGGGGGGCGGTCACCGGGGTTCCCTCCACCCCGCGGGGCCTCCTCGCCACCTCCAGGCCGGGTCTGTCCCCCGACTTGAAAAGCGGGGGCTGGGGGGGGGAGACTAGATTGACAGGTAGAGAGAGGTTTTTGATGGAATAAGCGAAGCCGAGGTGGGGTGGGGGTCGCCCCTGCGTGCGCCGGGGTGGTGGTGGGGGCGCTGGGCCGGCCCCCCCTCCCCCCCCCGCGAAGGTGGTGTTTGGAATCCCTGCGTCATACCTGTCGCCTGGCGCAGGGCGCCCCGCTCCCGTCGGGGGGGAGTGGGGTGCGGTGACTTGTCACCCGGGCCTGTACGGCGATTGGCCGAGAGAGAGAGAGAGAGAGAGAGAGAGAGAGAGAGAGAGATCGCCCTTCTCGCTGACTTCTTTGTGTGGTGGTGGTTGGTTTTAATAAATAAATAAATGGAAGGGCATGATCTGTTTTGGAAGTCAACTTTCTCCCTCTCCCCTCCCCCCCCCCCGTTTTCCTTGATTGTACTTTAACACAGAACCATGTCTGCCAAGGCACCCCCCTCCCCGGGTGGCCCTCCCCCTTTTCTGTCGAGTTCCTCTTTTGCTTTTTGTTTTTAGTCATTCCCCCCCCCTCCCCCAACTGAAGAGTACAAATATCTATTAAGCAAAGTGGTTGCTATGGAGAGTTGATTACTTCCATTTTGTGACCTGAACCTGTTCGCTGAAATAGACTTGCTCTTCTTAATAGCTTTCCTTTTAATAGGTAAAACTAACTCCTGCTAAGATTCCTGAGAGTATGATTTCCTACTAACCCCTACTGTTTTGTTTTTTTTTGGGGGGGGGAGGTGGCCAGTCCTGGAGTTTGAACTCAGGGCCTGGGCACTGTCCCTGAGCTTCTTTTGCTCAAGGCTAGCGCTCTACCACTTGAGCCACAGCGCCACTTCTGGCTTTTTCTGTGTATGTGGTGCTGAGGAATCGAACCCAGGGCCTCAGGCATGCAAGGCAAGCGCTCTACCACTGAGCCACCTTCCCAGACCCCCTACTTCTTTTAGCTAGAAAAGTCTATCTTTTGCAAGCAGCAAGGTCCCACTACAACAGCACCATGTAGTTTCATATCTTATGGTAAAACAATTTGTATTAACCAAAACTAATTGGACTTGTTTCTCCTCCAGGACTTTTTTTTTTTTTTTTAAAGACAACAGAGCTCTTCTTTTGTTGTGCTTGTATCTTTAATTCTTACATGACATCACTGTCTGGTTTTGTGGCTTCATCCTCAGAGAAAAGCACTTATTAATATCCTGGCCATACTGGATCCTCTTAAAGACTTAAGCTCTTCATCTTGGACTCTCATGCCACATCTGCTTGCCAGGGTAATGAAACCCCTGTTCTTGGACCAGGTTTGAGCCCTGGGATGATGTTTCTGGATTTGACCGACTGCTGACATGTTATGTGGGTCTCACTGCTTGCATTACAGGCCTTGTCTTTCCTGTTCTTGGCAGGACTGAGCAGGTCTTGAAACTGTTCTCTAGAAAGAAAGGTCGCAGGATTGCATTTTGAAAAACACTTCTTCATGGGCAACCACTGTGACCTTGGACAAGGCAGTTAACTTTTCCATAGTCCCATTTCCTCATTGTAAGATGGAAATGGTCATTTGCAATGAGTACACATTCCCTTTTCTATCAGAAAAGTGTGTGTGTGTGTGTGCGTGCGTGCGCACGCGCGTGCTGAAAATAGGGCTTGAACTCAGAGTCTTGGTGCTGTCCCTTAACTTTTTTAGCACAAGGCGGGCACTCTGCTACTTGAGCCACAGCTCCGTTTCCAGCCTTTTGCTGATTAATTAGAATGAAGGGTCTCACAGACTTTCCTGCCCAAAGCTGGATTTGAACCCTGATCCTCAGATCTCAGCCTCCTAAATAGTTAGGAATTATAGGCATGAGCCACTGGTGACTGGCCTACAGATCACTTTTTTAAAAGTTACTTGTTTTTGTTTATGTGGTACCAAGAAATCAAGCCCAGGGCCTCGTGCATGCTAAGCAAGTACTCTACCACTAAGCCACCTTCCCAGCCCACAAACCGCTTTTTTTTTTTTTTGTCGGTCGTGGGGCTTGAACTCTGGGCCTGGGCGCTGTCCCTCAGCTCTTCAGCTCAAGGCAAGCGCTCTACCACTTGAGCTACAG